TGTTGGCTTATCAGAGTTCCTCTTAGGAAGAGTGCTGTACAGGTGCTCTAGGGAAAATTGCTTAGAGTCTAATCAACGGGCATTCTTTCCCATGCCAGCTCAGAGAGATCTATGTAGCCCATGTAGAAAAAAGAGCATCTGCTGTATAAGAGAGATGGACATCTCATGTGGGGCAGGAGAAGAGTAGGATTCAGAGGGTGGGAGGTAGGGCATGCTGCAGTGACGAAAACTACTGAACTGTTACTGTCAATACTACATGTAGAGTGCCAACTGCCAGGTAGATCCTGAGAAAGGGACTGAGTTCTGGGGAGACTTATGCCAATATCAGGCAAGTCCTTCATATCAAGGGCTTATGGGGCACTTGAACAAAAGGCCATTTCACGTAGGCAGGGAATGGAAAGAAGAATAAGCAGGTGGCTGAAAAATTAGTAACAGTTTTATTTTTCCCCCTCAATATTAGGGCAGAAAAGTTCAGAACCACTAAAATATGAAATAGAATTGATATCACCTGGAAAGAGGCATCGATCAGAAGCATGAGGCTTACGGGGCAGTAAATCAGCCTTCCCCTGGGAGCGAGGCAAGGATGGGGAAGGTGGGGCAGGTGGGGTGGGTGGGGAGGGTGGGAAGGGTGAGGCAGGTGGGGTGGGTGGGGTGGGCTGCAAAGGGATTTTTCTCACCTAGGGCCCTTCTGAAGGCCCAGCAGTCAAAAGCCCAGTAATATGAAAGATGACATTTTTGTTTATTACAGAGCTAAAGTCAATTTTAGGACTGTGAAATATGACTTTAATAAATGAATACACAAACCCATGAGGTTCAAAACCCAGCAATGCTGGAAACTGAATTTGACTCAGTCCACAGGCTCTATGCAGAGAACCGGAGCTTGAAGTATGGATAATTAGAAATAAAAGCCTGTTTCACTCCTGTCTCTGTGTGTCTTGGGAGGTTCCCTTTCTCATTATGTCACCTACCAGTGTGTGTATTTGAATCTGGACAGAGGCAGGAATTTGGGTATAAATGTGTGCTTGACTGTGCTCATGGCCACATGAGTGTCTGGGAATGGCTAACTGTGCACAGAGGTAACATGTGCTTTCTCCACAATGCTGCTCTCAACACAAGAGTGGTTTGTCATCACAAAGCTCAGAGTAGAGGAAATTTGAGGATGCAGAAAATTGTTTAGAAGTCTCCTGGTGTGGCTATTTACCTCAGAAATGGCACAGAGGCTAGAGAGGATAGGCCAAACCATGCAGTATCTTTCTTTAAGGATGGCTTCCTCCCTTCTTCCATTTCCTTCTATTTCTGCTCCTTCTTCCTTCCAATCAATTCAACCCTGACAAGCCTCCTCATATGGGATCTGGCTTAGCCTACAGAGGCACCCATCCTGTTCCTCTCTCTGTCTTACATCCAAGTCCATTGGGAACCTAACTGATGGATGGCAGGACACAGGACATCACACAGCTAGAGACCAGCAGATTCCAAGAATAGGAAAAGCACTTCCTCAAAATGCAGGACATTGAGCTCAGAGCTGGAGAGCCTAGACAGGATTATGGGAACTTTGATTTACCAATAATGTCCCCTATGCTAGAAGACAGAATCTGCTACCACCAAATACAGGGAGCTCTAATACAGATACATGAAATACAGAAATAGGCTTACCACAGGGCCAGAGAAATGGGAGCTCATCAAATGTCCTTTCTTCCTCAATCTCCATCAAAGAGCAGGGCAAATGGTGGGAAATTCTATTTTCTGTATCAATTACCCTGTTTGGTACACTTCAAGTCATGACCCTATCTTGTATCTACTCATAACAGGCTCTAGAAAAGGTCTAAGTGGAGCCTGAGGTCTCATTGAGAGTACTTGTGAGTTTATGCAGATGGAAGATGTTAATACTCAGCAGTAAAGTGGGAACACTATGGGGACCAGGGATCTTAAGTTGTGGCCCGAGATTTGTCAATACCTTGCTATGTGCTGTTGGACTCTGTAATGTATCTCTCAGCCTCATCAGCATTAGACCTCAGCATACTAAAACATGGGTATCAACTTGGGCCATCAGCTATTGTCACACATAAATTTTCATATTGTGAGATCTGCTTTCATGGCACAATTGTAGAGTTAGGTAATGACAACAGAGAACTTAAGGCTTACCAATCTAAAACATTTTCTGTCTCATGCACCATAAGGACAAGCCAAATCCACTTCTACCAAAATACAGGCTGTAAACCTCTGTGGAAATAGACGCTGTATAATCTAGCAATCCAAATGGTCCTCATGACACTCAACAATTCACTAGGACAAGATGAATAAACCAGGGCCATCTCAGATAAACAAGGAAACTGGGACATCACTCTTTAGAATACTACCTCGATGTTAAGAGGGGAAGGTTAAGGTCAAATTTCCACAGAAGACAGTAGATTAAATACCAATGCACAGATTTCATTCTGGCTCCCTAGTACCCTACTTGGCTGGCTGTATTTTCTAGATGGAATATACTGCAAAGCTTTCCCAACGCCTGGAACACTTCACCGTCACTAAAGAGCATGTCAAATAACAACGAGTGTGAGTTCTTCCCAAGAAGTAGCAAAAAGAATGTCTTGCCTCAACCATGAAACCATGTAGGTACATGTAGAAGGTTAAACCCCTAAAGGCAACCTAGACATCTGGCATGCCCTGGAGCAAGCTTTGTCATATGAGTGTTTTATAAGGTATATTGGTGATAAAAGCTAAGTTGAGCTGTTTGGATACCATATACAGCCTTAATTTATACCGTATCTTGGGAATATGCATAAATTTTATGGTCAGCCTATCAGTACACTTGGTTCTGCAATGCTGTGAAGAGCCTATGATGGGTGTTACTTACAAAGCACACAGTACATGCAAATGTTATAACCTTGTAAATTGCAAATACTGTGAACTCTGAAATATATCTAACACCGTGAATGCCAGATCAAGGTTTGTGGACCTGATATTACTTTAAAAACATCTTTACAAGGAGGGAAAAGATAAAAAAATATATAATGAGGTCAAAGGCATCTTTCTAAAACATCTACCATAAAGCATGTCCCTGTGTTAATGACACACATGGTAAAACTATTATAGTCCATTTTTAGCCAATTTTCTTGATAAGACATTGCTTCTCCCACAAGGGAGTAGGGCTCCACCTGATATATGTAAAATGATTGTAGTCCATACTCATTACAATAAGGCTAGGCTCTGTCTGACTCACCTCTGCATTTCTGACAGGATATTTTACACTGTGCCTGTGATGTAAGCACTCAACAAATGATAGGTATCATCATCATCAACACCATCATCATCATCATCACTATCATCATCAATAGCTGCAGCAGCATCCCCTCAGCATCACCATCGGGATCATCATCATTCTCTCATCTAATTCTAGAGGAATTACAGGAAGTGCCTAACAGAGGACGATGCAATCATTCTAAAACAAATCACAACTCATTGGAGATAAAATGGGAAATAGATGTGGCAAAAATGTAGGCTAAGTACTGAAGGTAATTGAGTATTAAATTCTGATTTTTAGTTTCTGAAGCAAAGAAGAAATAGGGCTGAAGCTGCCTCACTGATGTAAACAAGCAAGCTCAGTAGAGAAAAGTATTCCTAATCCGGATGGACTGAAAGAACTATCAGGGAACTCAGGGCCATCTAAGAAGCCCTGGCCACTCATCTGTCACCCTGGGGGTTACGTTATGCTTCAGACACTAGAAAAATCTCCTCAAGATGCAAATTTGTGGTACCTTCTTACTTGAAAACCTTCATCAGGGTGAATGCAGACTGACAGTAGGGTACAAGGGAGCTCACTTGATGATGGAAATATCAAATGGTTGATGGTCATAAATACAGTGGCTTTGACTTAAGAAAGGCACTGGATGGCATACTTTAACACAGGTTGATTCCATGATGTGGGGATTTTAACTAATGATGTGTTTTAAAGAAAATTTCCCAATAACTTTGATTTAAACCTGTCTGGATTTGTACCCCCACAAACATTCTATAGATTGGTGTGGATCTGCAACCTTTTTCTTCATCCACACCGGGATAGGTAGGGCAAGAGAGGATGGGGTTCAAAGCAAACACAACAGTTTGGCATTGCAATGGTATGGTTTATTCGGCTTGTACTGGTCCACAATGAATTAGGAGAACATGGTCCCTTTTTCCCTACTGGTAATTGTGAAGCACAGTGGCTATAGGACCATGCTTGTTAACCTGGCCTTCTAACCCTCAGGGCTTACATGCTCTGCAGGTTCAGTTCCCTGTATATCTCTTCAGCAAGACATCCTTAAAGAACTTTGTTTCTGCTGGTTGTGATAACATACATCTCAAGTTCTAGCACTTGGGAAGCAATGCATTATGGGTTTCAGGATACTTTGGGCTACAGCATGCCTAGCCCATCTCAATAAACCCTAAAACAAACAATAGTAACAAAAGCTTGAAACAAAACAACCAAAAAGAAACAGATAACTTAGCTTCCAAATTCCTCAAAATCTCTCACTTACCCTTGCTTCCTTCTGCATCATCCACTTTCCAAAACATCTCTGTGCCTTGCCCACCCTTTCTAGTGAATTTTAATTCAGCCTTCCAAATTGGGTCTACTTGTCCTCACTTCTTAGAAGCTATCTTATTGCCCTTCCAGCCAAATAGCCACTACCTGACTAGTTAGCTTCTCTCTTTGAACCTCAACCTTTCCATGTGTAGAATCCAGTTGTTAGTTTACAAAAGGCTTCGGTGCCTGGATTTCTCCAGTCTTAGGAAGCCACATGCACTCTGCTATGTTGGGATTGTTTATCTATACATTAGTCTCCTCCTGATGACCTCCAGAAGGGAGAGGCTGTCCTAGGTCACCTCTGCTTCCCTGGAAAAGCCTCTTCAGTAGGAGTTGAAAGAGTAAACAAGTGATGTCCTTCTTAGACCTATCTACTCTAGGAAAGGCAGGAATATAAAAGAATGTAATTATTACTTGGTAGAAAAAGTAAGTGTCATACCTGGTAGAAATGAGGCCAAAAGGTGCTGATAGCAAGCTCTGCCTTCACCCAGCCTTCAGTGACGACCCCAGACACATTCCAGACTGGGTTCCCTTGGGGACCACCATTCACCTTCACATAGACGTTCAAGGCTCCTGGGCTGGAGCGATCTCGGCTGGAGAAGTAGTAGTGAAAGTCAATGCAGTGGGTGTCATTCTCCTTCAGGGTTGGCAGAAGAAGATGGGCTTTCTGGCCTGAAGCCCTTCCAGAGCTGTTCACCATCATGAAGGACCCTAGAGACCCACAGTGGGTAACAAACAGAGACAAAGAGAGAAAATGTCCTTGTGAAACCTTGTCATATCCATACATGGTACCAAGAAGGGAGGTTAGAAATGAAGTCCCTTTAGGTGACAGGGTCAGGTTGACTCTGAAGAGGCCATATCTCCTCTTAGAGTCTGAAGACTTCCATTCCAGGGGCTAAAATCCCTACTTGTAGTAGTATTGGAAGAACAAGGCAGGTAGTTACTACACAAGAAGCATTTCTAGTACTGTACAAGGAGCATTCAACACAGTAGATTGTTTATAACTAAATGCTAGACCTAGAGGGTTAAAATCCCAGCAAGAGAGTCAGCTGCAGTCTTTAGAGGTGAAATGAGATGAGAAGTAACCTCATAAAGGCTTAGGCTTGTTCTAGCCTAGGCAGAACCCCTACAGTATAGGAAGGTCCTGTGTATGGACAAGCTCCATCTGGAGTTCTGCACTCAGCAGGGGAGATTCCATATTAAAGGAGACAATACGTGAATAGTGCATATCTGAGGAAAAATGAATCCCCCCAAAAGTGTGAAAACCTACTGTCACATGTCTGAGGAGGAATGCAAAGTGAGTGGCATTCACTAAGCTCTCAGAGACTCGGATTAACATTAGGAATCTATTTGCAGAAAGTCTAACTGCTTCTAAGCATGTCCCAGATAGGAGTGAGCCTCTTTCCATTGTTGTGACAAATAGAAATTCTCTCTTTTCTTTACCCCTTTCTGGATCCAAACTCTTTGGCATTGACTTTACAGTTCCCTCTGTAGAACCAGAGGCTATCTCTTGATCCTGGCTCCATTATGTGACTTGTTAATAACAGTCAAACAGATGTTTAAAGTTGCCATTATAGCTAGGCTTATCTTCTTGTGGCAATTTTTTTTGAGACATAGAAGCTGGTTTCCCAATTGGCTTGGGATCAAGAATTAGCATACATAGATAAGCCATGGGTAAAGAGCCATGCTGAAAGTAAGATGCATAGCCATGTGGTCAACATATCTAACCTGTATCAGTCAACCTGTAATCAATGCACAGATCCATGTGTGTAAGAATCAATGTTTACTGTTGTTTGCCATGGGTTTCCTCCTGAGTGTTCATACAACATTGGCTAATTGATAAAGCTTGCCAAGAACAAGACTCAGATCCATCACTATGAAGAAGTACATCTCAAGTGAACTTTGTGCAAAATGAAATCAACTGCCCAGAGACAAAGTAAGTTATCATCACTGAAGGCAGCATCTCAAAGCCAGCTAAGATATCTAAGAGAATTTTACAATTAAGGGGGAAGGCTAAATTCAGCGACTTAAAAGTTGTGTGATTCTATTGAATAAACTGTATCATAAAACACAGTAGATAAACTCAAGTGATGCTGCGATAAATGTTTTCCATCTAGAAAACCAGCATTGCTTTGAAATCTTATTGTGATCACTAAAATCTTCATTCTAAATGAAATCTTAAGACCCCTTATCCCCAGGCAAAATGAGGCACTTCAGTAGCCTTAATTCACCTTTCTCACTGTGATACTAAAAGGACTAAGATCTGTACATTAATAAGGGCTGGACTATACACATCTTGTATGGGTTTTTAAACAGTACAGACCATTTACACCTTGTCTCCTGGGTTTTGAACTAATTTACAAGTAGACACAGAAGGGAGATTATATTTAAAACCTTTATACAATTGCCCTCAAAGCTGGATTATAGAAAATAATAGTCTTGATACCAACTTGGGTTTCCAGCACAACCCATATCCAAACATAAAAAGGCCTGTTATCCATCTTTAACCCAACTCAGATTCCTAGAGACAGAGCTATTCTTCTGAGATGACCACTAGGGACATTTGGATGAGTTTAAAAAAAAAGCCAGATGACAAGGACAGAAGAAACCAAGGTCAGATTATCAATCTCTAGGAAACCTACAGCCTTGGAATGATATTAAACATGCCAATCTGTTGATCAAAGAGGGCCCCACTGAGCTAGTGCAGAACAGGGCTCTTATGCTTGAATAATCTTAGAAATGGCAGGCCTACTAATCAGAAAACTCAGTCAGCTCCTGGGTCACTATTCAGCAGAAGTGGACCAAGAGTTGTCAAGAGTTTGAAGAACCCTCCTTCCTGACCTGGGAGTAACTGACAGTAAATGGAAAGGTGTCTCGCTATTACAGAAGTTACCTAATTATTATAAGCTGCCAATGAGGTAGCAAGAAAGAAACAAAGGGGGAATTGAGGCTCAGGGATGAGGTTGAACCAACATCCATGCCTTCCATTGTATACATGCAGGCTTCTGATTTGTCTTCTTGACAGATGGCTTATAGCTTACAAGTTTCATAGAGGGGTGGGTAGTCTTTGACACTGAGCAGCCATTTATTTTGAGGAAGAGAGACAGCCTGAGAAGTGAAATGTGCTGGACTCTCTCTGTCCCAGGTTCCATGATGGCTTCCATATACACTCAGCTCTTTAGCCACCTGTTAATCTGCACCCTTAGGCATGTATCTGCAGCTTCTTATACCCCACAGCAGAGGAAGTTAGGAAACAGTCTTTCAACTGGCTCATGCCATCATTTCTGTTCATCCTAGCTTTAGCAGCTGAGCAATCCTGCAGAGGATGTGGCATTTGTCCTATTTAATGAAGCCTCACATACAACTCTGGACACAGGAACAGAGAAAATGCTCAGTCTCCCTACATTGTTCAGAGTGCCTATAAGACTCACTTTCAAAGCCATTGGAGTATGTTGTGCACCTGCTCCATGTATGGTATAACTGGCTTCCTCTCATGCCCACATCCTTCATCATCACCTTTTCTTCCTAGTCAATGGTCCTTCATTCACATCTCTACATCACCTAAGAGCCAGAAGACATGAAGATCTCAGCCTCCACCCCATGTTCCTGTAGCATCTGTACCTACATTTCTATCAAGAGCCTCAAGTGATAATGTGCATATATATTCAAGGATGGGAAGGACTGGCCCCTTCTCTCCTCCCAGATATACTTAATGTTCAGGATTTCAAGAATCCAAGGAGAAGGTAGAGCCTCAGAGAAAGAGCCAGGATGGCCATGGCTATGATGCAGGTACTACCTCTCAGGAGCACAAAGAGATTCTTTAGAAGAAATAGATTATAATTGGGTTATGGAGCTGATGGAATTTTGAGATTTATATTTCCACAGCAGTGCCATTATTATTTGGGTTCCTCAGTAAGACCTCCTACTATCTCTCCCAGGTCCCTTTATTAAAGGAATTGAAAGTATAAAGCAAAGTTGCAAGATACTGTAAACTGAGATGCCCAGAAGAGAATCAACCCTGGGTGGCTCAAATTGGAAGGGACTGTGCAAAGGCACAGGGATAGAAATCCACAACAATCAGAAAAGCATTGTGGTGTCTTAAGAGGATATGAGATGAGACGATATATCAGTAGCCTCTCCATGAGAAGTCTGGCCACACCCTCCATAAAAGTAAGAAGCTGTATCCCCAGAGTCATTTGATCACAGGCCTGCCATTTCTAAGATTATTCAAGCATGAGAATCCTGTTCTGCAGCGGCTCAGTGGGGCCCTCTTTGATCAACAGGTTGGCATAATTAATATCATCCCAGGGCTGTCGGTTTCCTAGAGATCAAAAATGAGCCAGTCATTATGCCTATATCAGTCAAAAAAACAAGAAAGAAGACTGTAAATATAGCCTTTTCCTTTGCCCTTAAAAAAAAAAGCACCAGTGTGATAAGGAACATAAAACAGCATTAGTTTCTTCATAGTTATTACACATAACACTGAAAATCGTGGAATTCAACCAGGAAGTACTCTCTGGCTGACCATAAATTTTGCATTTCCCCCTCCGTGCATAATAACACCTTGATAAGCGCCCTGTTACTTATGTGACTGCCTCACAGATACCCTTTTTGGAGGCAACATGCTTCTCAGTAGCAGATGGCGGCTATTGTGTTTACACATGAGCACCTCAGGATTGCATTTCCTCATGTCGGCAGTAAAAAGAAAGTCCTAATTGAGTTTTTAATGGCTTTGCACATTGTTCATTAAGATTACATGAGTGTGCTTGGGCGACTGGCAGCTGAGGGCCTGCAGCTCTGAGAACAAGAACACAGAGTGGTCCCTGCAGACAGGTGGCCCGCCAGCTCCATGTGCCAGAACCTATGAAGGGAAAAGGGACCGAGACAGAGAACCAAGAGCTGCTGAGACCCGACCAGCTGTAGCAGCGTGGAGAGGGTCCAGGATCTTCACTGGGGAAGCTGGTTTCCTTTCCAGGTCTGTTGTTCCGTAGGGAAGTGACTTTGAGAAAGTTCCCAGCCCTCAGTGTCTTCATCTATAAAATGGGATGTGGAAATGGATGTACAGGAGTTTGTCATTCCTGTTGGCGAATACTAAATGATAAACAGTACTTGACTCTGAATGTTGATTTTACAACAAGCAGTGTGAGCAGCAGATGGTACTGATGTGGGGAGTGACACTGAGAACGTTCTACATACCAGACCCTAGTCTAAACACCATTTAGCATTCCAACGAGGCAGCATCATGCTAGCCCTGTTTTCAAAAAGATTTACTGATGCACAGACAAAAGCTAGGGTCTCAGCTCATGATGGTCAAGCTGTGTGTCCAAGATCAGGCTGTGCATGCCTCTGTGTTGGGTGTAGACCTGAGAGACACCTGACCTTTAAAATACCTAGGAGTGCTTAGTTTCCTGGAGGCAACATTAGGTATCCATCTCTCTTGCAAAACAATCTAGGGACACATGTGATTCGAGTAAAGCCAGCAGAATCCCCAGTAGCAAAAACTGGAATGAAGTTAGCAACTCAGAGTCTCAGGCTTCACTGTCATGTGACCTTGGACAAGCCACGTGGTCCATACAAAAGGAATTTATAAGATCAGGAAGTTGGACAGAAATCTCATTTGTACTGCTTTCCCTAAACTATGTCAAGCAGGTCTCTTAAACTATTTCAGCTTCACTTTCATCTTCTTCAAAATAACCATGAAAACTCTTTTT